ATAATTTTTTTTTATCTCATATACGAACATTCAATTTTAGTGAATATTTTTTCTGCATCTATTAAGATGATATAAAAACCTGGATTTTTTTTTTCTTTCTTTTATTGAGACAGGATCTGGCCATGTAGTGCAGGCTGGGCTCAAACTCAGGGCTATCCTCCTGCCTCAACCTCTTGAGTACTGGGATTACAGGCACATCCTACCATGCTTAAGAACTTTTCTTTAAAAAGTTAATATGGTATATTCATAGTTTTTCTCCCTTTTTTTTGTGGTGCTGAAGATTGAATTCAGAGTGTGAAATTGCTAACTAAGTGCCTTCTCTACCACTGAGCTATGCCGCTGGGCTGGTGGATTTTATTTTATCTTATTCCTGGAATAAACACTCCTTGGTTATGATTAATTGTTTTGCTAGATGCCTCTCTATTGTGTTTATTCAGGATTTTTCCTCTGTCTGCATCAGCCAGGTTGATCTTCTAAGGCACAGAGCGTTGGCTGCTCAGGGGTGGAGTTTAGTCCACAGGTGCACCTCGTGTCAAGGAAGGACCCTCACTTTTAGTCTTGCTCCTTCTTTCTTATTTTGAGCAATTTCTGCGAATAGCTATTGTAGTTATCAAAATTCTATGGCTTTTTGGTGTCATTTTGCTAGGTTTTGATAAAGGCAGTGTAAGTGTTTTCTCTGTCCTTTGAGAGCTGAAACAGAGCGCACTCAGGTTCCTCCACCTGTACCACATCACCGTGACGCTTTGCATCTGGTTTATTTCTAAAGAGGCTGCTTCCCCAAAATGCTGTTACCTGGGTAACACGGTCAGTGCCAGCTCATGGTGGCACCAGGCAACCCTGTGTCTGGGAGGCCGGCAGGCGTATGGCCTGCCCTCTCTCACAGGAGCCTCCTACAGTGCTGCTTCCCCCAATTGCACGATTCTCTGTTTGATGATCAGCTTTAAATGCTCACTGCTACCTGAGCCAGGATAACATTTCCTAAAGCGCTAAGACATTAGGGCTTATTGGTCATTCTCAACTTCGGCACCCATGAACTGCAAAGACACCACCCTGATTCTTGGGATTGGAGTGGAAAGGGTTAGGACAGGGCGCCTGCCCGTGAGGGTCTGGGGCAGAAAGAGGCCGGGGTAGGACGGGGTGGGGAGGTCAGATTTGGAGACAACCCAGAAAGATGTGGCACGAATGTGGCTTTCCCCGATGTCACCCAGAACTCACCCTCACGCCATGGCCATGTATGGCATGGCCTTCCCAGTGGGGTCAGGCAAATGTTTCTCTCGGGCGTATTCCATTTCTGAACTTTCCGCCTGTTTCTGGTTTCCAGAAATCCCCGCCGTGCTCTCTTTCATGGTGACTAAGCGTTTTCCTCCACCGCTCTTTCTGTTTCGAGGCAGACCGTTTAACTTTCCAGAACGTGATGTTTTAAAGCCAATTGTTCTAATCCTCAATGAAACTTTATCCTCCCTTGGAAGGTTTTTAAAAGAAATATAATACTCAAAGTTTGAAGCAGTGTTTCCTACTGAATAAAAAGCAGAGCATTGTTTTCGTGTTACTGAATCACTTTTTCCACCAGTTCTTCTTTCTCTAAACAAAATGCTTGGGCTTATTTGGTCTCATTAGCTTTGGAAGCATCACATGCTAGCGTTCCCCGGGCAGGGACCGAGGCACCCTCCAGGACAGGGTGCTGAGGTGGGGGCCCTGCCGCAGAGCCTATTGCCGTGATCTGTCCCGCTGTGACCGGTCGCCTGCACCCTTGATGGGGTTGGACCTTGTCCGCAGTGGAGGTGGTCAGGTGGCCAAGAGAGGCTGGGCTGGTAGCAGAGGGGCGTGGCTGTGGGACACTGTCACTGAATTCGTCACCATGGGGACCCTGGGTGGGGGTACTTTCCCCGATACCCTTGGGTCCGCACAGCCCCCTTCTGCTCCATGGACTGTCCCCTGGAGGGGACCACGGGCTCTGAGCCGAGGAGGCCTCTGAGGACAGCTTGGGCTGTGGGCTCCTCCAGGGACCTGCTTCAGCAGACCCTCCTATCCCGTCATGGCGTCCTCCTGTTCCTCCTCCTCCTCCTCCTCCTCCTCCTCCTCCGCTTATTTCTCCTCCTCCTCCTCTTTCTTTTCCCCCCGTACCTGGGATTGCACCGAGGCCTTTGCACTGAGCTACACCCCCAGCCCTTTCTATTTTTTATTTTGAGACAGGATCTCACTAAGTGACAGGGCTCACACTTACGATCCTCTTGCCTCAGCCACCCTGAGTGTTGGGATTATAGGTGTGCATCACCCACCGTTCCAGGAATACAACTTTTTCTAAGCAGTTCTGTCCTCGTTGTTGAAATGGTTTAGTGGGATCCTTCCCTGGCCCTAGCTGGCTTCCCTGACCCTGCTGTCCTCTCTCTCTCCCATTTACATGCCAATCATACACCGCCAGCCTGTTATCTGTCAGGTATCACTTACCTACCTGCCACTTCCCTGTTATTTGCCTGTTTGGCTGTTATTGTGCTATGTATTATTTACTTGCTTATCTGTCATCGTCTGTCCGTTCTTTACCTGCCATCTGTTTGTCATGGAATCTGCTGTCATTTATCAGTTCTCTGTCATACATTTTCTATCATCTTTCTGTCTGTTTTCTCCTCACCATTCAGCTGTTTTCTGTCTATAATCTACCAATTGTCATTCTTTTCTGTCTTACCCAGGTTGCTATTATCTAGCTGGCCTTAACCCATTTACTGTATATCATGGATCTGCCTTTTATTATCTATCTCTAATTTAGCTCAGACCTTTTAAAACAGTTCCTTTATTCATTCTCTGTTCCATTCGAGTGTAAACATCTGGGACCAGAAACTGTAGCAGGAGACAAACTGTCACAAACATCAGTCACCATTTGGTCTGGAGGCCTGTGGCTGGGGCCGCAGGGCGATGGCCCTGGTCACTTGGGCAGCACTGACACACTGATCAGGACTTGGAGATCAGCTGGCTGTTTGTCTCTGCATTGGAAGATGAATAGAGGGAAAGGAGCTGGTGGACACAGTGAGGTCCTTTGGAGGAGCCCCTCAGAGCCCGGGCTGGGTTCTGCTGCCTGGCTTCCTGGGGGGGGGGCGAGGGGGACTGCGCCCTAGTGTGGCCATTTGGACCCACCTGGAGAGATGATATCTGATCACCTGTCATACACGTTTCTCACTGGTCTGTCTTCCATTAACTGTCTGTCTCTACCTGGTCTCTTGCAGCTGGGCAGTCGTCCCCCTGCATAAATGTCCTCTGTGTGGTGACAGTGAGCTCATCCAGGAATTTGCTCATGAAAGGACGTTGCGTTCCTCAGCTGGAAAGCCGTAATGAAACTCAGATCCGACACAGCCCAGATGGGGAACGCAGGCTATATTTGGAGGAGATGGCCTCTCCTGAGGGAGAGTGGCAAGATCTGTATCTGCCCCTCCTGATGCATTTCAGGGTGCAAGGCCAAGAAAGAGGAAATGTGACATGGGGTATGCACTCCAGGTCTGGAACTTACCATGCTGGCTTGAGACTGGTCATTGAGACCAGGACTCTGATTTAAAGGAGGTTTGAATACTGGTATTTCCCTGCCCCGTGGCCCTGGAAACAGGGAGGTCCAGTGGAGCAGAGCGGCTTGCACCCTCCTCAGCTACTGTGAGGTTCCCCTCCTCCTGCACCCAGGCCCTGAGCACGCAGGTGGCTTCCTCCCCAGGGACAGTCCGGGCCCTTCTCTTCCAGCGTCTGTGGGATGGACGCCGTGTCCACCTTCCCGTGTCAGCCCCTCTTGCCTTTTTATCCTGAGCAGCCTGGCCTGAGGTCAGCTGTTTTGGGGAGCCACCCAAACCACTGTTGCTTTCACCCATTTTCTCTATTGTTTTGACTTTTCTATTCCACCAGCCAATGGCTTCTTTATTCCGTGTCTTTCTTCTGCCTATCTGGGGCTACAGTGAGGTATCACGACGGGTTGGGGGCAGCCAGGGAGGCACATTTTATGTCCCGAGGCACTGCTCCTGTCAGGCATCTCTGTCGCAGTTCCAGAAGTTTCTCCCTCTTCTTCCCCTTCAGGTCAAGGAGCAGAGCTCCTGCTGTCGGTGGGTGTGAATAAGGCACACCTCCTGTTGCTGTTCCCAAACTCTGCCTACGCCTGTGGGTAGAAACGGTCTCTGCAACAGATTTTCTTCACCCAGTCAGTGTACCATTTCCCGATGCGTCCTATCTGCTGATACAGAGTCTTATCACGTATTTCTAAAGATTAGAAAATTTAATACATACTTTTATTTATTCAATTGGTGCTAGGGATTGAACCCAGGGCATTTACACTGAGCCATACTCAAACCCTTTAGAAATGTTTTGTTTTAGTTTTGTCTTTTAATTTCATCAACAGATTTCTTACTAGTACATGTTTAGAATACATAATTATAATAGATAGTAAATATAATAAATAATTATATGTATCTTGAGGAATGGGTAAATACACATTTACATCTTAACCATTTTTTTTTTCTTTTTCATTTTTATCGGTACCGGGGATCAAACTCACGACCGCCTGCCTGCAAGGGAGGTACTTATGCCGCTGAGCTAAATCCCCAGCCCCATCTTGACCATTTTTTAACCCCTTTTTCTTTTTGAGACGGGATTTTGCTAGGTTGCTAGATTTCCTAGGCCAGGCTCAAACTTGCCATTTGCCTGCCTTAGCACCCCAGAGTGCCGGGTTTCCAGGTGCACACACCTCCCCGAGATTTGGTCTCGCTTTATAAAGAGAGCTTCTGAAACAGTAGAGTTCTTTGGGATCCTTCTTTGATGTGTGCTGATAATCTAAGATATTTAGCACTTCATCTCCTTGATGAAGGCCTTGTGGTTATCAGTTGTGCTCGCAGGTCAGGAATTGACTCTAACTTAAGCATGAAAATTATAGGGAAGGTAGAATTTGAAACAGGGAAAAGGTCCATCATGGTTGCTCATGCCAATGACTGGGTCTGGTTTCAGGAGACACAGATGTGACTGCGGAGAGGCGCGCAATCCTTTGTGGGTTGTAAGTGCTGGATGTTCAAATTCTTTCTATGAGATGCGCCTTCCTCAGGTCTTGTCATGACACTGGCATGTGACCCACCTGATGTGAAAAGCGGGGGGGGGGGGGAAGGGAAAGAAAGGAAGGAAGGAAAGGAAGGAAGGAGGGAAGAAGGTTCTTGCTCTCAAGAAATAAAGAAGAGAATTCATTTGTAAGTGAATAATAGTACAAATACCAGGTTTGGAAGAATGTCACAAGGAATCAGGGAACTTTCACAGGTAAAACTGCTCTGTTCTCTTCCTACCAAAGATTTCCACTCCTAACTTCTGAAACCTATGAAATGTAACCTTACATGTTACACAGACAGAGAGAGTTCTCTCAGGTAGGAAGATGTCTTTATTATTATCTTGTTGCTGGGACAAAATATCCAAAACTCACAAGTTAGCGGAAGAAAGGTTTATTTTAGCTCACAGTTGGTCGTGCTTTCAATCCGTAGTCAGCTGACTCTAAGGCATGGCAGCATGGTATGGGGGCACAGCAGAGGAGAAACAGTCCCTGGCAGGGCAGGCAAGACGCTGTGAGCCTTCCTTTCCCTTTTTATTCCATTCAGATTATGCTACAAGCATATTGATTGGTGCAACTCATACCCAGAGTGAGCCTTCCTAGTGTCCACACCCTGACATATACTAAACCCATCAGGGGACTAATTATTTATCACACGTCCATAATCCACTTACCAAAAGGTTCATCAAGAAATGATTTTGAACTCTTTGGGAGGGCCCGTTGTAATCACAGGGATCTTTAGAAACAGAAGGGAGGGCCTGGAAGATGAAGCCCAGTGGCAGAGCTCTTCCCAAGCATGCATGAAGTCCCATATTTCATCCTCAGCACTGAAAAGCAACTGGGAAACGAGGGAGGAGAGGGAGATGTGACTATGGAATTAACTCACTGAAATTCAACTTTGCTGGCTTTCAAGCTAGAGAGAGAGGAACGTGAACCAAGAAATTCTATAACATCTAAAAATTGGACAAGAAGAAACAATGGGTTCTCCCCCAGGACATCCAGAAAGGAAGGCTGCCTTGCTGATACAGATTTTTAGCTCAGTGAGACTCATGCCAGACTTTGTGCTACACCATAACATAGTTACTTGGGTGGCTGTTACCATTATGTTTGGGTTACCTTGCTACATAATAGCAAGAAGCCAATACACTTGGTTTTGGAAGGAAGGAGAAAGACCCTGCAGGAAGGCAGAGTTGCAAAGGACAGAGGGGATGGTGTGGCAGAGCCTCCCTTGCTGAGGTATAAGCCCTGGCCAGGTGTGGGTTGTACCACAATGGAGGACTGTTAATTCCCATGCTGGGCTTTGGTCTTTAATCTTTATACAAAAAGAGGAAGCAAATGTTCTTGCTTAGAGGTAGAGCACTTGCTTAGCATGCATGAGACTCTGGGTTCACAAAATAACAACAATAACAGCAGCAGCAACAGTAACCACAGAATGCAGTTGTATTATGGAGTCCGGAGCTATCTTTAGGGAGTGCTTAGGCAAGACAGATGCTCAGGTGATAACTTTACAGCCAGGCTTTACTGCTCTGTTTAAGAATGAAAGCACGGTGCATATTGGTACGCAAAGCCAAGTCGGGACAACAATCTCCTACCCCCACACTCGCTCCCATCACTTTTCAGTCACCCGAGGCTGGGGTCTTTATCTGGTCCATCCTGGCAGATGTCAGTGCACGCACTGTGCGTGGAAGTCAGTCAAAGCCCGTTCTTTGTTATTGTCTTGACCTGCTGGTTTGGATTATCTCTGTCTCTGGTTTCTCTCATTAATGTAAGTAAGTACAAACCACATGGTTGACTAAATTGATTGTAGAATAATTGGCCATTAAAATAGCAAAATATATAAAAAAGATTAAACTGCATCTCTGCCCTTTCCTTCTCCTAGCCTTGCACATTCCAAAAGCAGCTCCTCACCCCCAAATACTCAGGCTGGGGCTCTTTGTTCTGGGCTGGCATGTGTTTGGAAAATGCTAGTGAGGCAGAGTTATTCAGCTGTGAATCTATGAGGCCAGTGTGGGGACAGTCAGCACACTGCTCGAACCCTGTTCCAGGGGGTCTCTGGAAAGCAGGTGAGGAGACTGGGCCCCTCCACACTAGGGTGGTCTCGCTCTGAGACCTGCTCCCAACTCTGAGAAGCACAGCGATTTTGATGAGAGGATTTGTGTTCTGGGCTCTCAGATTTTAGACTTTGAGGAATTAGTTCATTACTTGCAATTCTGTGGTTCTTTAAATAAAATGGATCCATGCAGAATGGCATACCCAGGTAGACTCAGCTCCCCCGGAGCCTAGGCAGGGGATTGCTTGAGTTCTGGTATTTAAGGTCAGAATTGACAGCATAGAATTTATGCTACAAAAGGGTTTTGTTTCACATGTTGTTTTATAATCACTATAAATAATAGGCTTTGCATTAGATGATTTTATAGTGAGACATATTGATACTGTGTACAATTGTTAAGCAATATTAGCACCATCCCAGAACTTGACAGCAGGGTATGAAATATCCACTGGGGAAATTTATCCTGCTGGTGAAACCCAAAATGTCTAGATGTTTTCCTATAAAATTTTAATCTTATTAAATTCTGGTGTCAGATGTTCAGGAAATGTCCCCAGATGGCAAAGGAGAGCCCAAGCTCAGGGAGTCTGCACAGTTTCTGGGTCTGAGTCTGCTGACTTTCCTCCTTCCTCTGGCTTCCTGGGTATGAAGCAGAGTTGATTCAGGGTCTCTAACGTCTATTGTAGAATGCAGGCACTGATGCACACTGCGCTTTTTAAGGACCTAATTTCACCACAAATAAATGACTGTTGAGGAGAAAGAAGGGGTTTCTGAAGCAGAATTATATGGCATGAATGATGTGCAGGTGTGTGTCTGTGGGTATATCCGGGCAGGTGTGTGTGCGTGTGTGTGACATTGAATGCACAAACACGTATTTCTAGGCTAAGTGGGTACGTAAATGTATTATCATTTGCCCAGTGCTGCAATTTAAAGGCGCAAAGGCTTGTTTTAGCTCACAGTTGCGATGGACTGGGTCCGTGGTTGGTGGCTCCAAGGCAGAAGCAGCAAGGCACGGGAAAGGTGCTCCCTCGGTGGTGGACACGGAATACGCCCTCCCGGGTCGTAACCCAAGGGACCTGCTCCCTCAAGCCACGGCCCCCCTGAACCCATGGGAGACCTTGGAGGGGGGAGTTTAGATATAAACTATAGCAGGGAAAATAGGCTTTTTTGTTTTGTTTGAATTCATTGCGTGTGAAGGTATGGACAACCATTTTGAAGAAAACAAGAGACATCATGGTAGCCACTGCTGATTTCTTTTTGTCTTGTTTTGAAATTCTGTACTGCTTGCATTGTTTTGTTCTGATCTGCTTTGTTCTGTTTTATTCTCTGAAAAATAAAAAAAAGTAAAAATATGTGTAACTGTGTTTGGTAAAGCATAATTGAAAAAATACATTAAAATATTAGGAATGGATATGTCTAAAACAATTAAATTTTGTTTTACTACTTCCTTGCATTTTCCCAGTTACCTAAACTGAGCAAGTTTCATTGGTTTTTGTCTTTGTTTTGCTTTGTTTTTGAGACAGAATCTCGCTATTCAGTCCATAGCCCAGTGTGGCCTCAAACTCGTGGCAATCCTCCTGCCTCAGCCCGCTCAGTACTGGGATTACCGGTGTGTGCCACCATGCCCAGTATAACATGTTATTTTTATAACCAGAGGAAACCGATCTTTTTAAAAAGCCAAATTTAAAATATCAGGCATACTTTTCTGTATGTTATGATTCACACTTTTTTGATTCAGCACAAACATTCTATAATTGCATATTTGACAGAAGTGCTTTTGTCTAATTCTTGAATCCTCTTACATACACAATCTAGAAACATCAGGACAACTCGGCTGATTGAAACACACAGTTGTGTTTATTGTATTTACCTCTGAACTGAAAAGCAATTCCAGGGCCCTAAAATTTACATAGTTATTTTAGTCCAACTGAATCTAAAAAATAAATAAGATAATGATCAGTAAAACATGAGTAAATTATTTTAATTCTCCTGGTCTCAGAGTAGGAACGTGAGATGGTTAGCTTTTCGTATTAGTGAGGGTAGCTCTAGTTCTCAGTTAATAGACAGTGTAGATTTTGCTGTGGAGATGTTTTATAGATGTGGTAACTGCCTACAACAGGGCACTTCAAGAAGAGCAAAGACGATTGCTGTGAATAATGTGGGTGTGTTTTTCCCACTTGTCGAAGGCCTTAAATGCAAAACTTCATGTTCCCCAGTGAGGAATTTCTGCAGTAAGATTGCAAGGGCAACTTCGCGCTGGGTCCCAACCTCTCTCCAGTAATTTTAGATTTACAGATCCCCACAATAGCATGATAGCGTGGCCAGTTCTTTAACTTAACCAAGCCTTCTCTCTGTCTCTGTCTCTGTCTCTGTCTCTCTCTCTGTCCCTATCTCTCTCTCTCTCTCTCATGCTCAGTCTGTAACTCCCCCTTTCTATGTGTGCGTATGTATATATAAGCAACCTATAACACACGTAACGTAACCTACAGTGTGCACACTGAATGGTAGCGGTTTTACTTCTGCATCCTATTGATTGATTCTCATTTCCAGAGAAGCCTGGCTGACACACGTTTTTGTTCTAGATAGTTGGGTTCTACGGTAGCAAATATCTGAAAGTATGAAGGTGGCTCTGGAATTGGGTAGTGGGTAGAGACCAGAAACATTTTAAGGTGTCTGTGAAACACAGATCCTAGGTTGCCTTAAAGAGACTGTTGGTAAAATACAGGTTTTAAAGACATTTTGATGAGGTCTTGGTAAGGAAATCAATAGGACAGTAGAGAAAACGCCCATCGTCTAAGAGGGTAAATGCTGTGTTAGGGAGCGTTGCTGGAGATGAGGAATGCCAAGCTATTGAAGCCACAAGGGAAACGGAAGCACAGTACTGGCTGTGGGGGGGGGGAAGGCAGGTCTTAACAGAAGTGGGGCAAGTTTAGCCCTAATACGTGCTACCATCAGGTAGAAAGTGGAACTCGTAAAGGTGAGCCTGGATGGTTAGCTG